CTTTGTTCTTTATCTCCATAACTGCTGGGCCTGCCTTTGCCAAAAACTAATCAGCACATCTCCCTATCAACAGGAATCGAATATTTTTTGGACCATTCAAATCGGTTGATCCGTGCGCCCGAAAACGTGAACGAAAAAATGCGGACACACAAAACACACACACACATCCATTTTTTCTAAGGTATGCCAAAATGTTCAGAAACCTTCAAAACGTCGAGAAATGCAAACATTTTCAATTTTCAGAAGTTATAGTTCTGACTAGTGAAATATATAATGTGTTCAGCAATAAAAAAACATTAATAAAATATCATTATGCCATTATTGTCTATTGTAGTATTAATTATTAGGAAATGTGTAAAAATTGATATTATTGATACCTAAAAACTAGTTAAAACCAGATATTCTTTAAGTTAAATTTGAAAACTCATTTCGACAGCCTTTCAGTTTTTTTGTATAAAAGCATTTTTTTAAATCTGACATGCTAAAGATTTCTCAACGTTTCAAAGTCATTCTTAATAGTATGGGACCAAATTTTGAAAAAAAAATGTGCGTGTGCTTATGTAAACCGTTTTCTTCTTTACGTTTTCTTAAAAACCGATTTTTAACCGATTTTAAAAACTAACTGGTACTTACCTTTACGATAAGCTTTTTTAACGAAAAAATACCCTTTTGAAAAATATTTTTTTGAATCGACGAAAGATATAAAATTAGCTCGCATACATAAGCACACGCAGATACAGACTTTTCCAAATTTAATCCCATTTGATTCAAAATGGATTGAAACGTCGAGAAAACAAACTTTGCCAATCGGATTTTTTGGCGAAGAAAAAGCCTTACCTCCTTCGGGAAGGCAACAATAATTGCTATTATTTCAGTAGCATCTAAATTTTTTATTATTTATTATTTTTTATTTAAAAAGGTATGAGTTATGTACTTTTTTCTTATTAAAATATAATATAACTAGCTGACCCGGCAAACGTTGTTTTGCTAAGTAAGGTATATTCTAAACAATTTCTAGAGAAACAAAAATATTAATACTTTAAGTGTATAAGAATGTGTTATTTGATTGCTATATATACAATGAGGTATTATAAAAACAATAAACCCCATTCAATCCAAGATAATCCAATTCAATCCAAGTCTTTTTTGGTCTTTCGACTTATTGATTACGTTTCAAGTTTTTCAAATTTTTTTGGATTCTGGATTTTGTGTATAATTGTAAATAATACTACTCAACTTATACAAATTTTTCAAATTTCCGCAAGGAGAGATAGAAAATGAATTAAGTATTTCTTCTTGGACCCGCTTTTTGAAAAGTTTCAAGTAACATTCGATGAATTAAAGTAAATTTAATAAGAAGTATTATGGATTTTCAAAGATTACTCTTTATCTCTCGATAGCAAAGTCATAAGAATCAAGGTTATAGCTGGTTATGCATCTTTTTCCCTCTACATTCAAATATTGTTGTTAAACAATACTTAACTTTACTGGTTTTTGACACATCGGTGGTGGACCTTTTTAACCCCGGACCTTTGTATATTACTATCTATTATTCGATAAATTCTGGGAAATTATAACTGGGAAAATGTTATTCGACAAAATATCCCTTTGATCGATACCAAATTTAGGTTCTGAATTAAAATAACAAATTAAAAGTAATATAACCTAGAAAATGTTTTATAAATACCAAATAAGTATATAATTATTGAGATCTTTTAGAGCACCGTGTTTGTAAAAAATATGCTAAAAAGTGCATTTTCATATTAACATTTCAAAAAAGTTGATATTTTGAGTCTCTAGTAATACTTGCGGCCCGTTTGCTAACGTTTTTGTTTATAAATAAAACTACAAACAAAACTGCTGACTACAATTTAATCATAATTAAATAATAATTACGTAAAACATCCTATTAAAAGTAATTGAACATCATCTGCCAAAAACGTTTGACATTTCACGTGTTAGCCACGGTCCATTGTTTTATTTAAATTACGTTTCAACAAAAAAAATTCTACGCGATTTTGCAATAATATCTCACTTTTCCGACAACCTACTGATTAGCACGAATTTTTCAAGACTAAGACTGGCCAAATCGATTCAGCCATTTTCGAGTTTTACTTGGACATTTGAAAGAGAACTCCATTTTTATATATAAGATAAAGAGGATTGCTCTCGATTCCAGGAAAAACAGTGTGAGAGATTTCCTATTGCCATTTCACATCGTAGTGCCCGAAATGGGCTATTTTCATTTGAAAACATATTTTTGATCGATATTTTCTAGTAAAAGTTTATATGACTACTGCATGATATCGATTGATCCAGAGCGGAGTTTCGTACTCACAACCTTGTCTACACGTTGAAGCCGTGAAATATTATTTGTGAAACTTTATCTTAAACTCGTAATCTTAAATATAGGTTCTATCAATTTTTAGGCAACTCGTAAAAGCGTCCCAATTACTTATTATACCCAATGTTTCAAAAAAATTTTTAGTTTAGATTTAGAAGATCATCATTATGTTTATGAAAGAAAAAACATAGAAATAGTAGACGATCACCAAAACGACCATAATGACATCACTAATAATATTGATGTATAGTAGTAATTAAAATCAACTAATCTGCCAACAAAAGGTAATTTTGATAAAATATGAATTTGTGAAAGTTACAAGTCACGGCCACTTATACTGAGCTAAAATACCTTGTAATAAAATGTTTAACCAATATAATAACTACTTACAATACATAACAATATAGCTATTGACATGATTGCAAAGATATGTAAGTTATTTATGCTTACTAGCTGTATTATTAGTCTTATATAATCGATAAATAATTATAATTCAGGATTATCAAAAGATAATTAACAAATCATTAATTGCAAGATCACGTTGATATTAAGTAATAATGCTAATAATTTAAATTACAATTATATACAAATTAGATACAAACATTTTCTCGTGAAATTTTGTTATAAAACTACAAAGTGCTTCATGTGACACATCACTCAAATTTAAAACCCTTCTGATTATTAATACCATTTGGTTAATATTTGTGATTTTTTTCCGAAATCTCAATTTCTAATTCATCAACAGATCTATATTAACGTCAAAATATATTTGGTGTTGGCTTTTAATCAATAAAGTGGAAAAATAGCAGATTAGAATGATTCAAAAAGCATTCGATTCGCACTGGCGGGGCCACCTGCTAATTAGTTTTTGGCACAGGCAGATTCAGTTCAGTTATACAGAGCCAAGAGTGAAAAATAACAGTTTTTAATAAAATGGAAAATCTCATTAAAGTGATTAAAAAAAACGGATCAGTTTTTGGCTGACACAGGTCGTTTCATAGATACAGATCAAGGAGTCAAAGAAATTACTGTTTTTGACTTTTTTTTAATTAGTTAGTAATGTATGACATCGTACCTTAAAGCAAATTGCTGGAACTGCCCGTGCATAATGAAATATTCGAAGAATAAAATTTAGTTAAAAAAAATTGTTTGAAAATTAAAAAAAAATTGAAATATTTTTTTTCTCCACAAAAGCAAATTTTTCGTCAACACAAGCTGAAAGTTTTTTGAATCATTCAAATAGTATGTTTGGTTCTTTCAGAAACTGTGTTTCAATTTTCTGTACACTTTGCTTCGTACCTTCGAAACGGCTGGACCTGCCTTTACCAAAAACTAATGATCACATCTCCTTATCAATAGGAATGGAATATTTTTTGGACAAAAAATTGTATCCATACATGCATACATACATACATATACACGCATCCATTTTTTCTAAGGTTTCGATTTCGATTTTTTGACGATTGCAATAACTTACGGGAAGTTGAAAAAGTATTTTACTTGTGTTGACAAAATAGCAAAGGCAGGTTCAGAGATTTTGGAGATGCAGATTTTTTTATAATATCTTATATTTTTTGGTCAAACAAGATTTTTGACTTCCCGTAGGGTAGTTATAGTAATAGGCCAAAAATCGAAAATGAAAATTTTTGCATTTCTCGACGTTTTGAAAGTTTCTGAATATGTTGACAGAAAAAATGGATGTGTCTGTGTGTGTTTGTGTGTCCACATTTTTGGGCGCACGAATCAACCGATTTGAATGATTCAAAAAACATTCGATGCCTATTGATAGAGAGATGTGCTGATTCGTTTTTGGCAAAGCCAGGTCCAGTCGTGACGGAGATAAAGAGGAAATAGTGTAGACTGTAGAAAATAGGAATTTAGTTTTTGAGAGAACGGAACATCCAATTTGATTGATCTAAAAAACATTCAACTAGTGATGATTGGGAGAAATGGCTATTAGTTTTGGCAAAGGCAGGCCCAGTTTTTTCGAAGATACAGAGCTACATATACAAAAAATGACAGTTTTTGAGAGAAATAAGCCTCCGAATTGAATGATTCAAAAAACTTTCTGCTTCTGCTGACAAAACAATTGCTTTTGGAAAAAAAATGCATTTCATTTTTTTTGTATATCGAATATAATTCAGATCTCAATTTTAATTCTGGCTGAAGTTTTAAAGCTCACTTATATACTTTGAATAAATATTTTTGACTTTGTGATTCAGTTTATATAATTCTTAAATCTATAATCTATAAATATCTATAAATATTAGACAGTGTTACAGTATTTATAATAATCTATTTGAAAACATTCAGTATTCCTCGAACATTTCGTTATGGTACGGGAAGTTCCAGCAATTTGTCTTAAGGCACGATGCCAAACACCACTAGTTACATATCATTTTTTTGACTCACAATCAAATAGAATTACTAGTAATATTTGATAGATAGGTAGACATGAGGCGGATATACATGAAATAGGCATCTAAATGAACCGGTCTATTTTATATCTTATTAAACTGGTCTACTGAATATATATAATATATATAAATCAAAAAAATATTGAATAAATCGATGAATTACACTTACCGGGAACTTCATGCAACATGCCACAACAAAAAATGCCACTTACAGTTAGATAATGTATGCAATACTATACCTAAATTCCGTCAGAATCATATAAATCTTATCCTCGCATTGAGCTCAAACTTTGCTGGAATATTGATTGACCCTGTGTCCAAAATCAGAGCCCAATCTGTTGCGATATTTAACGTAAATGTTGGTTCTAAACGAATTTAAATTATCCATTTTCGACAAAATTTGCATATTTTCCGAAATCGCTGGTTAATCTTGAGCACAATAAACTGTATACTTTAACAAATAAAAACGTTCTTGTACTTTGAAATATATAAACTAAAAACAAAAATTATATCACTCATTGTCATTCAAACAGCAATGTGAAGAGGTCGTCATCTCAGGTAGACTAAAAAGAACTGACCTAGACTGACCTCAAATCCCATATAAAGCATGGGCCGAGGAATTTTTTGAAAAGAAAGAGACAGGTATCATGGAATAGAAAGGAATAGTTCTGTTGGCATCAGGGCCGGATTTAGAAATTTGGCGCCCCGGGGCACTGACAAAAATGCCGCCCCATCCCTGAAATTTTACGAACTTTGGAACTTTTTTTAAAGCAATCGCGCTGCTTTAGCTGCGAGGGACAAAATATAGAAGCGCGTAAGCGCCGCGTCGCAGTCTAACGGATAAACAATGTTACAAAACTTATATAAATGTAAACAAAATTTATACTTATTATTTTAATATCTTTAAAATATCTGATAATTTAATGTGCATATGTCTTATGATCACTTTTGTCCGCCAAATGTTTCTTTTTCAATTTTTTTTATTGGATCATCGAAACCGCTAAACCTGCCCCCCACAAATTTAAGCAGTTATTTATTCTGTAAATTTTTTTGAATGTTATTCGACGCTTTTTTCTCAAAAACTTTGCAAAAAGTTTATAATTTTCGAAAAATTTCAAAATACAAAAAATGTATTTTAGAAGTTTTTTTTCATTTTTCAATAAAATTTAAAGCTCTTTATGAAATGTAATTTTCAGTACGGGATGTTTCAGTAATTTGTCTTAATGCACAATGCCATGAGTCACTAGTTTAAATTTTTTTCGACGCTATAAGCTTGGAAGTGCACAAATTCGTCATTTTAAGAGGGCTCGAGAACTGTAGTAAATATTTTTCTTAAACTTTCAGCTTGTTTACGGATCTTTATATTAGCCAAATTGCCAAATTTAATAACTTATGAACCAATTTGATAATTTACGTTCGGAGAGGGAGGCAAGGCAAAATAATAAATTTTAATAATCGGTTATTTCAACCCAAATTTTGCATTGCAATCGTATTATGTTTTGTTAATTATATTTCTTGAAATATAAAAATGTTGTTAAAAAAATTTGATTATATTGTATAGAATTTTTTTCTCACTATCCAAATTTTGCCGCCCCCAAAAATTTGCCGCCCTGGGCAGTAGCCCCGATTGCCCCTACTGTAAATCCAGCACTGGTTGGAATATTGCAAATCCGAGATGGCGACTATATTAAAAACGTTACATGTAAATATATCCATCAGATGTCGCCAACATCTTTATTAACAACTATTTCGAATGGAAGACATATTTTATACCTTCTGGTTTTGATTATTATATATTTATTGTTAGCAATCTCTGCTTAATGTTAATGCTCTTGTAAAACAGATTGCAGAATAAATTAAATAAATAAAAAAGACATATTTCATAATAATAGCTTACATAATCAAAAAATAATAATTAAACTAGTGGGGTGCATGGCCGTAATTAAACATTCAAAGAATTAAAATAATCAATCATCAAAAAAGTCTATGAATAAATATTATAAAACAAAATGACAAAAAATGTGAAAACTTTTTAGATTAGACGACGTTGTTTATATATGTTTGAATGAAATATATAAATAAACAAAATCAAATTAAGTGGACTTATTGTTAGAATGAACATATTTTAATTCAAATGCACCAATTATTTCATTGGCGAAATAAATGCACTGCGTTAAGGATTTTAAATAGTTAATGCAGTATCAACCATACAAACATAAAAAAATTAGAAAATAATATTACAGACGTGGGATTCGAACCCGATCAGTTCTGACTTTCTTATCTACTAATGCGAAATGACGCGTTAACCAACTGAGCTATAACGAAATGCTTCTCGGGCACAACACTATGATCGGATGTCTAGGATCTAATCGGAATTTCTGCATTTTTTGCTTTGTATCTTCGAAACGGCTAGACCTGCCTATATCAAAAACTAAACAGTACGTCTCCACATCAATACGAATCAAATGTTTTTTGAATCACTCAAATCGGCCAATTTGTTTTCTCAGAACTTGCCATTTTTTGCACTTTTTGCTCGTATTATTGAAACGGCTAGACCTGCCTTCGCCAAAAACTAATTAACACGTCTCCTTATCAATACGAATTGAATGTTTTTTGAATTATTCAAGTCGGTGCTCCCGAAATCGTCGACAAAAATTTGTATCCACACACACGCACATACACACACATACATATACACACGTATACATCCATTTTTTCTATGGTATTCCAAAACTTACTTTGAAACGTAAGATATATAAAAAATTTCATTTTCGATTTTTTGGAATTACTATAACTTACCCTACAGGAAGTTAAAAATATTCATTGAGGGCGTCGTCAATATTCATTAATAAAAACTATTTAGAATGACGTACAAATCTTATCGAGTTACAGACATATTTTATAATAATAGCTTACAAAATCGAAAAATAAAAATTAAATGATAGTAATCTTTGTGATTTCAGGAAATTTGAAAAATAGAAAAATTAATGTACTTTTTATTATAATTTTTATATGTTCAAAATATAATTTATATTTTACATATTTTTATGCTATTCAAAATTGATTGAATACTTTGATGATAATTGTGCGTCACAAATTAAAACTCTAATAGCATTACTCATTCGCTATAAATATTTGTTGAATTATTTACATTAATAAAATGCAATACTTTCATACAGAAAGCAGATATAGTCTAAAGTTAGCGAATAGTATTTATTCTTGCAATTATTCATCTTATTTATCAAATTTGATGTTTGGAGGAATATTCAAATATAGCAAAATTATTTCCAAAATAAATCTAGTTCTTCAATATGATATTTTTTTAATTTATCAATAAATATGTTTGCTTCAAATAATAATTTATGATAACTTTTACACTTCTGCTAGTGTGAAGAGTTATTTTTATGTAGTTGCTTCCTCACAAGGAGTTCCTGAAATTGCATCTTTGACTTTTACTTTCAGTATGCGATAGTTGATTTCATTAGGATCCAGTTTTTTATATAAAAATTGCGGCATTTTGTTTGAAAGTATCCACACATTTTTCTCAGAATCAATCTGCGAAAATTTTTAATTATTCTCGTATAGGTTTTTTAAAAATTAAATTATAAGCATATTTATAAGTAATTAAATATTATAAAACCTTATACTAAGAGACCGTTTCTGCCGTAAAACAAATCAATGTTATGGCAAAGCTATGTTACGTGTTTCCATATAAAATGATACTAAAAACTGTCAAAATGTTATTTATTTGCTGTGAGATCAGGCTTTTTACATATAAAATGCAACTTCACTCAAATGATATTATGCCATGTCACAAAAATACAGTTATAGTCTAGATTGTTTTCTATCTAAGACGCCTGACTGCACGGCAATCACATAGCATTTAGACAGTATTTAGTACCATTTTGTATGAGAATCGCTACGTAACATAGCCTTGCCATAACATTGGTCTATTTTAAGGCAGAATCGGCCCTTAAATTTCCGATAACTTATAATCAATATTTCAAAAGTATGAATATTAAAAAAAAATAGCATAATCAATTAATGAATTAATTCCATATACGATATTTCATGTTACATGAAATATACCAGTAATTGAATTGCTTGTTCAAAAAAATAAATTTTCAAGGAGTTTTTTACTGGTCATAATCTTAAAAAAAAATCAGTTAAGAAAAGTTTCTTTGTTGCCGTAAATTGTTTTGTTTTTCCCATAACTTCTTGCGGATAGTTAAGTAACTAGAAAAAATTTAAATAAACGGAAAAAGATTACTGCATAATTTGTAATCCAAAGTAATGTTTATTATAAAAAACTATTGATTAGAACTGGAATAAATTAATATTATTAAAAACAATAAAATCTTAGTGCAATATAATTTAGCTAATAGCTAACTAAATACTTACAAATATCTCATCTGGAAATATTAACTTTTCTACATCGTAATCAACAATACCTAAATTTGAACAATATATGGTTTTGCAGAATTCCAGCATGTGATAGCATGTGATACTGTATTTATTTATCTGTGAACATATAATTTTATTAATTTAAGTTGGATAAATTTTAAAGCACAGTTGGTGATAAAGAATCTTGATATACGAGTTATTATAACTATGGTTTACCATATAATCTTCAAAATAAGAATAGCATTTCAATACTTACTTCGGCATAAAATACTACACCAGATTCTTCATCCATGTAGCTTGAGGTACATTCAGCATTTGGTCCTCTATCACCAATAAGCAAAACATTTAAGAAATTTTTTACATTCATAATGACAATTCATAATTTTAATTCAAAGTTTTATCATATTTTCATAACACTTGATTTGAACCATAATATTTTAATTTCAAATAGAATACTATGGCAATATTTTATATACATATAGATTATGTAAATCTAATTAACTTATAATTTGGTAAGCTAATAAAATAAATATAATTGTAAATCTATTTATATAATTAAAATATTTTCATAAATATTGACAAATGACATTTGACGATTTTCATGTCAACATTTATTCAAATTTATAAACATTGACTTTTAATTAGATTTAAAACTATAAATTGTGATTTTGAATATAGCATTTCATCTAATTTCGATATAAATGCTGGGTATATCTATATATGTATATGTATAGATATACTTTTATTGTATTGTGAATTAAATTTTTTGAACTGTCAAATTTCTTTTCAAAAATCATAAATCTTTTTTTCTCGAGTTTTCCATAAATTTTGACATTTGTCATTAAAAACAATAAAATCTTAGTGCAATATAATTTAGCTAATAGCTAACTAAATACTTACAATATCTCATCTGGAAATATAACTTTTCTACATCGTAATCAACAAGACCTAAATTTGAAACAATATATGTTTTGCAGAATTCCAGCATGTGATACTGTATTTATTTATCTGTGAACATATAATTTATTAATTTAAGTTGGATAAATTTTTAAAGCACAGTTGGTGATAAAGAATCTTGATATACGAGTTATTATAACTATGGTTTACCATATAATCTTCAAAATAAGAATAGCATTTCAATACTTACTTCGGCATAAAATACTACACCAGATTCTTCATCCATGTAGCTTGAGGTACATTCAGCATTTGGTCCTCTATCACCAATAAGCTAAAACATTTAAGAAAATTTTTTACATTCATAATGACAATTCATAATTTTAATTCAAAGTTTTTATCATATTTTCATAACACTTGATTTGAACCATAATATTTTAATTTCAAATAGAATACTATGGCAATATTTTATATACATATAGATTATGTAAATCTAATTAACTTATAATTTGGTAAGCTAATAAAATAAATATAAATTGTAAATCTATTTATATAATTAAAATATTTTCATAAATATTGACAAATGACATTTGACGATTTTCATGTCAACATTTATTCAAATTTATAAACATTGACTTTTAATTAGATTTAAAACTATAAATTGTGATTTTGAATATAGCATTTCATCTAATTTCGATATAAATGCTGGGTTATATCATATAGTATATGTATAGATATACTTTTATTGTATTGTGAATTAAATTTTTGAACTGTCAAATTTCTTTTCAAAAATCATAAATCTTTTTTCTCGAGTTTTCCATAAATTTTGACATTTGTCATTTAGTGTTTTGTTTTTTTTCTGGCTATTTTATGTCAAAATTTTTAGAAATTTATAAAAATTACATATTTATATTTTAAATTTACTTTTCAAAATTTCCTATAACCTAAGTTGGATATATAGGCACACGTTGAGCCAATAAAATTTAAATCGGTCCAGTAGTTTGGGCGTCCATCGCGAACCAACATCGTGACACGAGATTTATATATATATAGATATATATAGATATATATATATATATATATATATATATATATATCTATATATATATATATTGAAATATGTGAGTTTGGTGTTGATATATATTTTGATGAGTTATTTAGAATCGGGCAGTAACACAAGTAAAAAACTAAAGTAGTTTTGAAATACTTTATTATCCATACATTTCGGTCTTCATCGAGACCATCATTCAATGGAAAAAACTAAAAGATTTTATATTTATGTAGGAGGAAAATAATATAAAGTTATAGAACTTATATATAAATACTAACAGAAATTAATTATACAAAATACACTATACTACACTAACTGTTCCAGTTATTAATAGCTTGGTTTATCACAGTGTAATAGTGTAGTGTATTTTGTATAATTAATTTCTGTAAGTATTTATATATATATATATATATATATATATATATATATAAGTTCTATAACTTTATATTATTTTCCTCCTACATCATATAAAATCTTTTAGTTTTTTTACTTGGTGTTACTTGGTGTTACTTGGTTTACTTGGTGTCCGATTCTAAATAACTCATCAATATATATAATATATATATATATATATATATATATTGTGTGTGTGTGTGTGTGTGTAAATACCTTAAATTCGTGGAATGCATCGAAACTGTTCGCATATGAAGCATTTGAAAGAACCCTCGTAGAAACTTTAAATTGCTTGCTACTAGCACCAGGTTGGAAATAAGCAGTACGGAATCTACAACAAAGTTCAATTTTTTTTAGTAAAAATGTTGTGTATTTGACATATTGATTGTGAAATTTGTAAAAATTAAAATAGTATGAATTAGAAATGTATTTCTCTCAATGCAAATAATTTTTTTTTTATTTTTCTCCAATAATAATATTATACTAGAAAAATATTATATATATTATTTCTAATTATAAGTACATTACTAATTACAAATTGATTTCAATCATTTAATTTGTAAGAATTTAACACCTAGTAATTAGATCTTATTCTGTTAGTCAAAATATATGTGATAGAAAAAAAATATCTTGAATTTTTCTTTTATGTTATAGCTTATAGAAAATGAACAGTTCTATGGATTCATCATGAGGTATAAGTCATCGCTTATCCATATTTGATTTTTACAATTTTTATCTTAAGGAAGTTGAAAGTTGAGCGAGCAGACTTTTTGCGATAAAACCTATAATGTCTAATAATTGTCAATTACTAACCCATCATCCTGGACTTTAGACAAAGCAACTCCAAAGACTCCATCAGGCCAGAAAAACTGAACACCACCCACATCGTATTGTCCTGACAAAGGATCGCTGTGGAAATAGTTGTGTTCAATTCGCCAGGATTCATCTGCGTCAAATGAGTATACTACGAGCCCATAGCCATTTGGATCAGAAATATAAGCGATGGTGTCATTGCAACTACGTGGGTCCAGTACCTAAATGTGAAATCGTACTAAATAAATTGAATGAGTAATGGATAATTTTATTGAAGTAAAACTTCTTTAGGCGCGACTAGGGTGTAAATCCGTGCAAATGCAACGGTGCGTTACGGCAGATAAGATAAATAAGAGTCGAGTGCCATTCGTCATTCGTTCTCTATGATATCATTTCTATAAGGGTCGATTGTGATTAGTCGTCGTGTATGTGAATAGAGATCTGTCGTTGAATGCGTACCGGCATCAACGTTGTATGCGTACCGATACCAACAAGAAAATCGGCATAGATAAATAGGCATTTAAAGTTACATTGTAGTACTAATATTGATTTAATGAAAAATGCCTGAATCAGAAGAATATTTTTACCCCGTTCCCAAACATTTGTGCCGTGTACTAAACTTAAATTTATTGAATAGAAATTATTTCTATATTATTCGTAATTTCTATAAATCTTTGAAGTTATTAAAATGGAAAATAATTTTTAGACAGATATTACAGCTGTTCAAAGAATGAGATTATATCGCCCGCAAAAAGTAAAAAAATACAAGCAGTCATTGAATGTACGTTAATTTTAATTACATGAAGTTCTTCAAACATAATTACATGATAAGTGAAGTTGCGAAAACAATATTTGTTTAGGCGTTGTTTAACATAATACACTGTGTTATACGAATATTATAGAATTTACTAATCAGCAATTACTTCATTTCTCTAATGAAGGTTCATTTCTAAATGCTAATTACAATGACAAATCGATCATGTCATATTAGAACTATGACTTTACATTATTGTTTTTAAATATTATACAAATTTTTAACGCTATTATGAATATATAATTAATAATTTAGCATTATATAAATGTGTATGATGGTTGACACTAATAAATGTGTGCATCATGAGTGTTACCATATTACTAATAAACATTAATTAAATTCCTATATAAAGTATTTATATTTACTTAAACGCCATCTTGTACAGCAGCAAATACGTTTTACTTCAATCGCGTGTGAATCTCACGAACACTCTTTTTTTTCAAAAATTAAGCCTTGGAAGAAACACATGCTTGCAATTTTACGTGTGTGATTTAAGTCTTATGTACATAACATAAATATGACTCAGGTACAAAACATAATTATTTTATCTCAAGCTTTTATGTATGTGATGATTAGAATAACATGGTTTTTAGTCAATATATATTTTTTGACTTTTGAAATAGTTGTAAGTGGTGTTTTGCCTTGTAAATTATAGAATAAATCAATGATAATTTGCTCTGTATATATCTGTCTAACTCTGTGTCTGTCTAACTTTCTACATGTCTACTGGTTTACCAAGCTGGTTTGGCTAGCTTGATCGGTTGTTCTGCGTTCAAAAAATTCAAAAAATAATATTGAAACATGTTTATTCAAATGTTACGATATATATATTTGGCAATGAAATATTTTTGCATTTTTATGCTTTCGTCTATACTTTCATTAGAACATAAAAACGTCCACGTAAATCAAATTTAGTATCACTTTTGGTGCAATTATTGATGTTAATATAATTTATTGCTGAATTTAATTTTTATTAGGTACTCGTCATAATGCATTAGATATATTTATTCTTGACCTATTATGTAAATTACCTTGTTTTAATCGCATCGTCTCAATAGATTTATTTATGAATTTATAGGCAAGGACGTCTCAAACATTTCATGCTTCTAGACAAACACCATGCACTTGAACTATTTTGGTGTGGCATATAACAATAATTATTTTTCTATCTAAAGTAAATTATCTACCTATGAATTATGAAAAGCCTCACCAATTATGTCAATAGATCCAGCGTCTAATACCCAAAGTCTATCACATTCGTCAACCCTAATTCTGAATACAGAAAGTAAATTTTCATCTTCGTATAACTTTTTATCACAGCATTTATAATCTTTAGGAATTTCAGGTAGAGTGTTATACTTCAGATTTGGATATGGTATCAACTCTGGAGTTTTGGTTTTCCCAATGGTTTCATTAAGTGGTATATAGGCCAATGTGGAGGCTACCCCACTTTTCCATCTGAATAATAAATGTTAAAGACTATTAAATATACAAAATACTAATTCTATGTTAATAAATTCACATTACATATAATATAAAAAATTTAAAATTGTAATCAAATGCTATATTTTTTCAATATTTTCAACTTCAAGAATATTTAATTTAAATTTCTAGTACAAGTTACTGCAGGTATGTATATTTTAACAAATATTCATCTTCTTCGATTTTTTTTTAAATATCTGGATATTTTCATGCCAAGGTTCGAACTTATTGTACTATATACAATAGCTTAGAAATTAGTTTATAAAATTATTATCATGAAAAATTAAAATATTGAATGCCGAAGAATAATCAAGTTCATTAAATCTAATTTATTAATTAATAACACTTTTTGTCAATTGTTTAAAAATACAGATATAGCAATTTTAAAGCTTCAAAGCAATTAAGGCTTTCATTGCACAATTTTTTTCTTTAATTTTCATCTGAAATATATTTACAATATCTTACCACTTACTATAACATCTAATTCTAATTTTTATTTAAAGGTACATCTATTAAAAGTAAATATTTATACATTTGCTTCAGTGCTTAAAATCAATTTGATATACGAATAGTATACAAAATAAAAAAAATACGATAAAATAAAAAACATTCATGCAAAATTTTTCAAAACTTTTGTAAATATTTCATGGTATTTAAAAATTCATACGCTAGATAATAGAATTAGGGTGTAAATCCGTACAAATGCAACGGAAGTGCGTTACGGCAGGGTCGAGTGCCAATGATTCGTCATTCAATTCAATGATATCATTTCTATACGGGTCGATTGTGATTAGTCGTCGTGTATGTGAAGAGAGATCTGCCGTTGTATGCCTACTGGCATCAACGTTGTATGCGCACCGATATCAACAAGATAATCGGCATGGATAAATAAACATTTTAAAGTAGCATCGTAGTACAAATCTTGATTTAATGAAAAATGCCTGAATCAGAAGAATATTTTACCCTGTTCCTCAAAAATAATAAAACAAATTAAACATTTGTACTAAACGTAAATTTATTGATTAGAAATTATTTCTATATTATTCGTAGTTTCTATAAATCTATGAAGTTATTGAAATGGAAAATATTTTTAAGGCAAGACAGAGATTACAACTGTTCAAAGCATGAAATTATATCGCCAGCTAAAAAGTAAAAAAGATACAAGCAGTCAATGAATGCATGTTAATTTTGATTACGTGAAGGGCTTCAATCAAACACAATTGCATGGTGAGTGAAGTTGCGAAGACAGTATTTCTTTAGGCGTTGTTTAACATAATCCACTGTGTGAACGAATGTTATAGAATTTACTAATCAGCTTCATTTCTCTAATGGTTCATTTCTAAATTTTAATTACAATGACAAACCGATCTTGTCATATTTGAAGTATTTAATTACATTATTGTTTTTAAATATTATACATATTTTTAACTTCCCGAAGGAGAAGTTTATGTTTTCATCAAAAAATCCGAATCGCTAATTTTATGTTTTCTCGACGTTTCGAGCCATTCTGAATCGAATGAGACCAAATTTGGAAAAAGTATGTGTGTGTGTGTGTGTGTGTGTGTGTGGGTGTGTGTATGTGTGTGTGTGGGTGTGTGTGAACAGATTTTTTGCCGTAATCGACGTTTTCTCCAAAACGGTTGGACCGATTTCAAAAATTTAAAAGCTATTTGATGTATCTCGATGAGGACAATCGTCTCTGAGTTTTGTGCGGCGATCGGCCAAGCCGTTTCTTTGTAAATTGCAGAAAAGTGAAAAATTTTCGTCCACGTTTTAGCCCGCAATTCTGAATCGATTCTGAAATTCAAAAACCGTTCGATAGATATTGGTGGGAATCGTGCTGATTAGTTTTGGTTAAGATCGGCCGGGCCGTTTTCTTGTATAATAAAGTTTTTAAAAAAAAAATTTGACGATTTTATGATTATTTTTTTGACGAAAGATACCATAGTTTTCTAGGTCATACTAAAATATTACGGCCCTACGACAACTGGTTCAGCTTTAAAAATTAGTCAAAGTTTGCAAAAATCAGTATGGTCTTTTTGGCATTTGTCAAAATTAGACTTTTGATCGACGTTTTCTCAAAAACGCCTGAACCGATTTTAGAAATTTAAAAGCCATTTGATGTATTTCGGTGAGGACTATCGTTTGTCAGTTTTGTGCAACGATCTGCCAAGCCGTTTCTTTGTAATTCGAAAAAAACTTTTCGTCCACATTAAGCTCATCCTACCGAACGATTTTGAAAAATCAAAAACTGTTCGAAAGATATCATTTGGGAATGATACTGATTAATTTTAGGTGAAAATCTACCGAGCCGTTTTCTTGTAATTAACTGTTGAAAAAAAGTGTTAAATTTTCGTCCACATTTAAGCTCATCCTACCGAACCGATTTTGAAAAATCAAAAACTGTTCGAAAGATATCATTGGGAATGATACTGATTAATTTTAGGTGAAAATCTACCGAGCCGTTTTCTTGTAATTAACTGTTGAAAAAAAGTGTTAAATTTTCGTCCACATTTAAGCTCATCCTACCGAACCGATTTTGAAAAATCAAAAACTGTTCGAAAGATATCATTTGGGAATGATACTGATTAATTTTAGGTGAAAATCTACCGAGCCGTTTTCTTGTAATTAACTGTTGAAAAAAAGTGTTAAATTTTCGTCCACATTTAAGCTCATCCTACCGAACCGATTTTAAAAAATCAAAAACTGTTCGAAAGATATTAGTTGGGAATGATGCTGATTAATTTTAGGTGAAAATCTACCGAGCCGTTTTCTTGTAATTAACTGTTGAAAAAAAAGTGTTAAATTTTCGTCCACATTTAAGCTCATCCTACGAACCGATTTTGAAAAATCAAAAACTGTTCGAAAGATATCATTTGGGAATGATACTGATTAATTTTAGGTGAAAATCTACCGAGCCGTTTTCTTGTAATTAACTGTTGAAAAAAAAAATTTAATCCTTCTTTCATGGAACTTTTTTTGGCGATATACATCATGGTGTTATAGAACTTACTGTAATATTACGGCCTTACAACAAGTAGTTTAATTTTAAAAATTCGTCAAACTTTGCTAAAATTATTATCGTTTTTTTTAAAGTAGGATTGATGAAGTATATTATTTACACATTTTTTTGATCAAGTCGATTATTTACACATATCGGGAAGTTCATGTAATTTGCCTCAAGGCTAAATACCAAACCAACTAGTTAATGTTTAATTCATCATTATATAAATGTGTAATATATTTGACACTAATAAATGTGTGCATCAAGAGTATTACCATATTACTAATAAGCATTATTCAAAATTGTTATATGGTATTTATTATTACTCAACTTAAAATTGCTACTCTGTACAGTAGCAAATAAGTTTTTCTTTAATCGCGTGTGGTCTTTTTTTATGAATAGTATTTAGCAAAAATTTATAATTACAATCTCAGCAAAATACTTACCTGGGAATTGTGAGGAATAACTTATCTTGCCACCTAGCCATTCCCAAGATAAGATTATTTTCCTTGATGTATGTACCATTTTTAATATATTCTTCTTTTATTTCATTAGAAGGCCACACAAAATCTACATCTTTCCAAGCATAGATTTCTTCGAATTTTCCTGCGTATACCAACGCGATATTTAAAATAAAAAATAACGGTATCCACATTGTAAAAATTTCCCAATGATTTCCTTTGAAATAATCGGTGCTGTAGTTTACGCACGAATGGCTCTAGCTGAATTACGTATTTGCTAATTATATATTTGTGACCTGTAATTACATGTTAATTTCTGCAAAGAAAACAAGATAAAAAACAATTATTGTTGTGGTATATCAGTTATAGTTAATTCTTGAAAATGAAAATAAATTATATTATGTAATGATTGCCGAGTTTGATTAAATGATAAATGTAAGATAAACGATACGCACAAAAGGAAGAGTTCTCTGAAGTTTCAATCATGAGCATTTAAAATTATGTGAGCTCTTATATTCATCAAATAAGCGATTAATATAAATTAATATTGTTTAAGACATAAAACTGTTACTTAAGAGACCGTACCAATATGCACAAAAAAAAATTTCCTAATTTTGGAAAAAAAAGTTTAATTCTCAAATGTTCGTGGTTTTTCAAAATTCCGTTTTTCTCAAAATTTTCGAAACAATTTTGTTTCTAAAATTAAAAAAAAACTTTATTTTGAAAATATAGTTTTTGAAAATATGATAACTTTTTGAAAATATGATATGATCGAAAATAATATTTTTATGTCTTTACGTTTCAAAGGTTTCTGAATATTTTGGCATACCTTAGAAAAATGGATGTATGTGTATGTGTATGTGTGTATGTGTAAGTGTGTGTGTTTTTGTGTGCGGATACAAACTTTCTTCGACTATTTCGGGAACACCAATCAACCGATTTAAATAATTCAGAAAACATTTGATTCGTATTGATAAGGAGACGTGCTAATTAGTTTTTAGCGAAGGCAGGTCTAGCTGTTCCGAAGATACGGGGTAAAAAGTGTTGAAAATGGTAGCTTAGTTTTTAAGAGAACGGAGTGTCCGATTTTAATAATTCAAAAAACATTTTACTTGTATTGACAAGATGAAGTATTGACCACATTTTAGGAAAGGCAGGTCTAGCGGTTATGTACTTTCAATAAAAATAAGTTAAAAAAATGCCATTTAGCGGTCAAAAATGTTTATTGGACATATGTACATCAAATTATCAGATATTTTATAGAGATTTTAATAATTGCACCCATTTTGTGTAAACTTTTTTGAGTTCCGTACCAATATTTTTAATTTTGAAGTTTATTTACATGGTTCTAACAAATTTTCTTGACATTTTCAACAGTATGAAATAACCGATTTATAAAATTGAAAGATCATTCGGTTCGTACTCGATCGCGAGGCGTTTTTGCAACAGGCATATTTTGCCGTTTTGGAGGTATGGAGCGCAAAGGGTGTAAAATGTTTATGCAGTTTTTGAGAGAACGGATCATCCGATTATATTAATTCAAAAAACATTTTGCTTGAGTAGACGGTGTGCAAAAAATTCATTTACAGAAAATTTAGTAATTTTGAGAATTTTCAGAAAAAATTCAAAATTTTCAAAAAAATCAAACATTCAAAAAATTCAAATTTTCGAAACTTTTCATCATTTTTAAAAAAAACTAAATTTTGAAAAATATAAAAAAAAAATCTTATAAAAATTTGAGAATTGTTCAAAGATTTAAAATAAAACGAGTATTTTTAAAAATTTCCAAATTCTCAAAATATTTAGAAAAAAAGTTTTTTTTTAATTTCAAAAAATTTCAAACTTCTAAAAAAAATTCTAAATAACAAAAAATTTCTAATTTATCAAAAAATTCTAAATTATAAAAAAAAAATTAAAAAAAATGGACTCTATAATAAGTTAATAACTAATAAGTTGTTCATAAAATACGCTCTTCGCCCAAATTAAAAAGCACTCATTACAGTATGTAATAAATAATCTATTTGAAATTATTCAAGACAAATATTGATTATGGTACGAGAATTTTCAGCAATTTGCCTTAAGGCACGATGCCATGCGCCCCACTAGTTTTTTTATTATTTTCATTTTATATTTATAAAACTGAATAAGTTAATAATATTAAAATTAATTTAAACTTTAAAATAATTGTATATTTGGAGACTTTAAAATAATTTTATATTTAAATTCTATAATAAAGATCCCTTTGATACACGTCATAAAATTGATGTGATACATTAAAATTTCATAAGAATAATATCAATAATAAGAGTGAAAAAATATAATTACTTGCGTATCAAAACTAATTAACTTCCCGTAGGGTAAGTTATAGTAATCGCAAAAAAATCGAAAATGAAAATTTTTATATATCTTTACGTTTCAGAGGTTTCTGAACATTTTGGCATACCTTAGAAAAAATGGATGTATGTGTGTGTGTGTGTGTGTGTGTGTATGTATGTGTGTGTATGTATGTGCGGATACAAATTTTCGTCGACGATTTCGGGAACACGGATCAACCGATTTGAATAATTCAAAAAACATTCGATTTGCACTGATAAGGAGACGTGCTGATTAGTTTTTGGCGAAGTTAGGTCTAGCCGTTTCGAAGATACGGGGCAAAAAGTGCCGAAAACGGTAACTCAGTTTTTAAGAGAACGGAGCGTCCGATTTGAATAATTCAAAAAACATTTTACTTGTATTGGCAAGATGAAGAGTTGATCAAATTTTCATGAAGGCAGGTCTAGCGGTTTCGGAGATCTATTGAAAAAAGTAAAAAAAAATGCCATTCGGCGGTTGAAAATGATGATTAGACATATGCACATCAAATTATCAGATATTGTATAGAAATTTTAACAATAAGTATAATTTTTTTTTACATTTCTATGGGTTCCGTACCAATGTTTATGCGTTAGACGGCGGCGCGGCACTTGCGCTGTGACAATTCGTCTCTATGCAGTTCAAGCAGTACGATTGCTTTGAAAAAAGTTCAGAATTTCCAAAATATGTCAAAATGAAGAAAACATTTTTCTTTTCAAAAAAATAGTTTGTTTTCAAAAAAAAAAAAATTCTTTCAAAAAAAAATTTTTTTTTCAAATAAAAATTTTTTTTTCAAAAAAAAGTAATTTTTTGTCATATTCCTAGTTTCTCAAAAATCTAATTATTCCGAAGTAAATTTTTTTCAAAAATGTTAATCGTTTTTAAAAAAATAATAATTTTTGGTACGGGAAGTTCCAGCAATTTGCCTTAAGGCACGATGCCCTAATTGCCTTAAGGCAGAATTCCACTTACAGCTAGTTTAAGTTTTACAATTGACTGGATGATACATATGTTTGCTCCGTTTTTACGATGAAACCGTTTTTTATAGGCCTCTAATATTTTACCATGGTCAGTTTGGGCATAAAATCTACCATTATGTCAAGATTTATCAGAATCCGAGACGGGCAACGTGCGGGTTTTCTTTATAGGTAGTTTTGGTATAAAAAAATATTGTAATTAGTCTTAAGAAATGAAAAAAATCAACAATTATAAGCACCAATATATTGTTTATTATAATTAAAATACTCAACATTTATAGTATGTTATTATTATTCTGGATAAAGATCAAAGTTAGACAAAGTTAGACGAACGTTGGTTCAAATACGTTTTTTAAAATCATATTATAATTTCCATAAAAAATATTAATCATATGTTCTTATTAATGTAGTAATGTAAATCGATAATATCAAAATACCGGTATAGAAATTTTTTGGATTTTATTCCCTAAAGAGGACAAGATAATCATGCAAAATCTTTTTAAAATTTTACATAGATTTATTACAGAAACTCAAACACTTATTTGAATTTATTAACTTCCCGTAGGATTAGGATAGTAAAATTTGAAATGAAATTTTTTACATATCTTCGAGAGAACTAAGCGTCAGATTTGAATTATTTAAAGAACTTTCTGCTTGTTTCAACAAAATAATTGCTTATGAAAAAAAATGTTTCTAATTTTTTAAAAAAAAAAAAATTGTATGCCCAAAATAATTCAGATTTTTATTTTAATTCTATTCTAATATACTTTAAACAAATAATTTCAACTTTGCAATTCAGTTTATATAATTCTTATAAATATTAGACAATGTAACAATATTTATAAAAATATTTTTGAAAACATTTAATTATCCTCGATCATTTCGTTACGATACGGGAAGTTCCAGCAATTTGCTTTAAGGCACGATGACATACATTACTTGTTTGAATTTATATCTATATTTGTTAAATAAGATAAATATTGTTAAATTTACAAAAAAGATGATCACTCTATTGACAATAATAAGCTTAATCGAATCAATAAAAAAATCCGCGCGGATGCATTTAGAAAATGTAAAGTTTAATTTATATATTCATAATTATTTATCGAATTATGTTTGAATGTGTTGAAAACAAAATACTAACTAATCTATAAATACATTTTAATAATTATTGTGTATGATTTAAAAACTTTTTTAAGTTTTTAAATTTTGTAAAAAATTTAAAAAAATACGTTGGTACTATACAAATAGCATTGTTTGAATTATAAATAATTTATTTTATGCTATTTTTTATTTAAAAATTAATATTGTACCTTTACGTTTTATGAGTAGATAAACCTCCTCCAACAGTCGAGCCAACTTATTTCTATTTCTGGAAATAAACTAGTAATAAATGCACAAGTTTAAAATTATCAACAAGTATTATTACTGTTATTTTATTAATTTTTGCTGATAACTTTATCAATTCGCACTGAACTGTTGTTGTTCGCGCAGATGTTGCAAAGCGACTGGTTTGTTTATAAACGAAGGAGCGAATCGCTCGTGCCGAAGAGCAAACTTGTACATTACATGGAGGATTGAATAATCTGCAAAGCAAAAAGTACAAATGAAAAGCTGTTATGGACATTTAGAAAGGTCTGCACTACTTTGAATATCAGACCTGCACTTGGAATACAAATTGTTACAAATAATTTAAAAATTGGTATACTTTTTTTCTATCCAATGTTAGCTTGATAAGATCTTTTTTAGTACTTTTATTTTCAACATCATAATCTATAAGTTGAAAGTGAAGGTATTGGAAATTAAAACATAAAAGAAAGAAAAAACTACTGGTGCATGGCATCGTACCTTAAGGCACATTGCTG